AAGCAACCGAATAGCAAACTGAATTTTTGATGATGGACTCCTTAATTCAGGAGTAAAAGGTCTGATTTTCACCCATGATTAGAAATTGAAACTAAAGAAGCTGGGATTAAGAAGATGGTGTAAATTTTACCAAAGATTAAACTAATCTTTTGGTGAATTTACCAAGATCTGTCATACCTTCTTCATTAATTGCTATTTTTGAAAGAAATTTTATGCTTTTTAAGACTATGTGCTGTAATCAAACAGGAATGGTTTAGGAAGGCCAGGTGAGATGCTAATAACTTTTTTTTTTTCTGGATGAAATCCATGAACATTCAAGTGCCATTTGGACAGAGGGGACTGCAATCTCCTGCATCACTCCCAAAATTAATTTAGTATGAAAATGTTTTCATAAACCTGTAAACAACAGCTTTTTTAGGGATACTAGTAATGTTTTCCATTGTTAAGACTGACATGTTAAGGAGGATCAGAAGTCTCAGCAGCCACAGCGTAGGACAGACCTGAACCACCTTCCTGTGGGTCCTCTTGGGTGAAGGACCACTTTTGAGCTTCAGCATTCCTCTCAGATGAGCAGAAAGTCCAGGCAGCCCTACCATCAAAACTTTAACTAATGGGTTATTGCATTTTTTATAAATAATACCAAAACCTCATCTGTTGACAGCAGCTGAAGTAATTCATTGCATGAAGTCATTGACGCACAGTGTGCAAAAGTTTGGGCAGCACCCCTGGGTGTAGGCACTAGTTCATATTCTCTGGATAAATTCCCAGTCAAGTGCTATGGGCGTGCGAAGCTGAATGCCACCTTGACATTTATCTTAGATTCAAGGGTAATTTGTATTTTAGGGGACTGTTGGTTTAAAAAAGCAGTATTTTTTTTAAAAAAAAACTTTTATATCTTAGAACTTCTCTGGGTGAATCGGCTTTTGGTGAATTATTTTTTCAGTTCAGTAAAAAAGCAGTTTAATTAGAGAACCACCACTATCGGTGCTTTGCTTTTCAGGGGCTGGCAACACATCCACAGAGGCATGTTTTAGCTCCTAACAAACTTTGAGAATTTGCATTCCTGTTAGGAGAAAACATATGTATGTTCTGATGGGCAGAGTTTAGCCTTTGATAAATTTTGTCACTCTTTTTCTAAGTGTTTCAGCAATTTAGTGGTAAATAGGAAGTCAGGGGTTGGTTTCAACACAATCAGTTTATCTGTTCTCTGTCTAAACATTTGCTAAATTCCTGAGCAGGAAAGTAACTTATCCCATCTGAAGTGCAGTTTAGCACTAGTTAAAATACATTACAGTGATGACCCATTTAGCTTTATTTACAACTTGCTGAAGTGGTTTATTTCTCCCACTATGGAGATGTCAGACCGCTGTTGCACAGAGTGTTGGTGTAAATACCAGAAGCTCACTAGTTTCACAAGGTTTGAATAAAACACCAATGAAGTTCACGCCTATCTGTCTATACTTTTTTTTAACCACGGTGCATCACTGGAAATGCTTAATGTCTGCTTTGAAATCCCTTCTTCTCTATCCTTCAGAATAGTTTTCTCCAAAAGTAATAGAAGGCTGTGAAATTTGATAAGGAACTTTGATAAAATGTGATGTAGAAGACTATCAGCCTGGGGAATTGTCCACCTTATGCCCCACTTTGATCTTCACTTGGTAGGAAAGAATGTTAATTCAGGTCTTCATGATGTGTTTGGCAGGTTATTATAGCTCTGAATCTGTGCTGCTCTTCCACTTTGAAATATGCTTTCTTCTCGGTATTGAATATTAACAAATATTTAAAGTCACGTATGATTCTTATTTTCTCATTTATACCAAGTTTTATTTATTTTTTAGTTGATTTTTAAATTCTAATCCTAAAATCCGTAAGGATCAGCCCTATTTCTGCTTGATGCTTGCATGTGATTTTATTTTTCTTACACAGCGAACCGAGAGTGAGCCACGAGAGATTACATGAATGTTTAGCTGTAAGTGTTAACCTTTTGACTCCAAGCTGCTTCACAAAGGGTATTTTTATAACTAAGGTAGATTTATTTTTTTTTTTTTGTTGGAGAATTTTCCCCAGGGTCTTTTTTTAATCCTTCCCTTCAAAGCCACCCACACAGCCACATACCCAGTTCCAGGCAGAATCGCGGGCAGCGATGGGTGTGATGCCCTTCAGGACCATTTCTGTGCCATCACAAGAGGATTGTTTTGGAGGAGCAGCCGCGCGCCCCAGCACCCGCGCAGCTCTTGGCCTCTGTGGTGTTTCCCAGCACTCAAACACAGGGGCCAGCTTGTCTTAGCGACTCGGAGAAAAATTACAGATTAGCTTGTCACACTGTTTACAAGATAGGTTGCAGACCTGCAGATCCCCGGCTGGGTTTTTCATCCCTCGCATGTTCTGGTGGCTACGCACAGAGGTCTGGAAATGTTAATGTGTCGTTAATAGCTTTTATCTAACAAAAAAGGAAGGGATCCCTAAAACAATTAGTTTTGTTCCAGAAATCCTACATCTGAGAATTCCTGGAACAAACGTTCATAAATTTGAGCAGATGTCACTCACGGTGCATAGGAAACCATACAAAATTCAGGCTCTGTGCTTGCCACTCATGCTGTCTGATCATATCGCATCTTATGGGGTGTCCGCCTTGACTTACAGCAGGAGGGCTTGGTGCAGGCAGTGCAGGTTTCTGCTGGGGTGCTATTTCCAGTGTCCTCAGCTGCTCTTCTGTGCCCAGGGACATGGGAACATGCGAGGAACTGGTTGTCACACCAGGGATCTCATACTGAGGACTATAGTACCACACAGACAAAAAAAGATGCCTGAATTTGCTGTGCAGCATGAAGTGCCTCCTATTTTTGTTTTAGCGCTGCAGAGGAGCCCTAGTGATGGCTTTATACAATTTCAGAGGGATTCCGTGCCATTCTCGAGGTTAGAGGACATGCCTTACGGGAAGGGATGCATCCGGCAATCCTGAACTCTCAGAATGAGGTGTGCAACCTCGAGCGGCAAGGGACTATGCTGAGACTGCTCTGGAGTGTACTAAGATCCACACTGATCCCAGAATATCAATGACCCCCTGGACCCTGATCCTTCACCAGGACCGTTCGGGTCACAGGCAATCTGCTCCCTTACGTTTCAGCGTTATTTTGATAGTAATAACATCCAAGTGTTTATTCCTTTTAAGTTAATCAACATGTAAATGAACATAAAACCACTAATAAATAAGAGGCAAATTGTATTTTCCTAGTAAATTGAGCATGTTGCTTGTGTGTGCTGAAGGTTTAATAAGCATGATTAAGTGTAGACAACCAGTGAGTGGAGAAAAGTCTGCCCTTAGGCGGAGGAGGCTTCGCAGCATCCCCTCCTTCTTCAATCTGTGTTTTGAAAACTGTACCAGTTCAGAATAGGAACTGCTGCAAAGCTCCCTTTTGTTTTTACATTGAGATACAACAGTGATCTTACAGGACATGTAGTGTTTTCCTGAGAAACACGGTAATCTGAGTACGACTTTGCCTTTAGGTGTAGCTCCAGAAACTGCCTGGGGCTGTTTGGTTGCCAAGACATCTCCCATAAAAATCCCTGAAACATTTGGTGTCTTAAACAGTGGGGAAGGAAACTTGGTGGGGAAGGGGTCTTTTTTGGGGCAGTGGTCACTGGGTCTGCTCAGGGCCAGGATCTGCACTGGGCAGTTCTGGAATGAATTATTGTCTGTATTTGCTTCTCTGCCTTGATTATTGTATTTTGCCTCGTCAGTGAGATGGCAGAAAGAGGCCTGCTGTGATATATATTATGTCTTCCAAACTTCCTTGGAAAATGGAAGTGCTTAGAAGTTTGCACTTATATTTATCTTATACATATGTTTTGCAAGGATGCTGGCAAATACCTTTGACGTTCAGATTACTGTTACACAGGGCATTATACCCCTGTCCTCAGTGCCCCGGGGAAACGGCCTGGACCTGGCTGGGCATAGGGAACGCTCTGGTCATCCTTGTTTTCAGAAACCAGAACATAAAACCATTGCTTTCGTACACCTGAACTGAGAAGCTCAAGCTACAGCTATCCTCGGTCACCTGTGTGCATCAGGGCGGCAGCTCCTGCACCGCAGGGATGTTCCTTTCCCCCTTCTGGAAGTGTCCTCTCGTACAGAGTGGGGACCCTGCCCCATCTCCCCGCTTTTTCTTTCATCATCCCAGTGTAAATCTAAATAAAACATAGCTGTGCAGGCAGCAGTTCTCCCTCCTCTCCCTGATAAACATGGTTAGACACAACCTAACCTTCATCAAGAATCAGTTCTGATTATGTATTTACTAGCTTCTCACCTTGTACGAACACCATCCCTTCCCATTCAGAAACCATTTTCGCAAGGAAGGTGTTAAAATTACCTGTTCCTGAGATTAACCGACTGCTAAGATCGGTAATTATTTTCCCGTACCCAGGGAAATGCTGATTAGAATTATCACAGACATCTTATTTGATCAGGAAAGAGTAATATAATTTTCTTCCTCCTAATGCTCAGCATAATTATTCACAGCCCTGCAAAACAGGTGTAAATTGAATCAGAAATGATCGTACCGGCCCAGGTTCCCAACACACATCAGCGGAGGATGCGGCCAGTGTGCACGGGTGCAATTGCCTGCGCGAGCATGTGGGGAAAATAGATCACTTGATATAGCAGAAATCATCGTTGTTTTTTGATCGGAATAAAAGGCGTACACCGCTGCATGTGACAATGACAAAAGTCATCTGCGTTTAAAAATAAACAAACTCTGCAATGAAGGTGGTTGCTATGGGCCTTATCCATCCTTCCCTTTCTGTAGGGCAGCTTCAGGAACCAATGGAGCTCCACATGAAGCTGTTAAATGCCTTTCCATTGACTTGTGGAGACTTGGATCCAGCCATAAGCCATCAAAAATTTAATCAGAAATAGCATATCATGACTACCTGGAACATGAGATTTAAAATTTCAGTAAATGCAGATTCCTCCAATATTAACTTTATTTTCCCTCTGCTAGATAATCTCTTCAAACCAAAGGAAAGATTCATTCCAGAGAAGGAGATGCATATGAGATCTAAAAGGTACGAATCGCTTCAGTTTAAAGTTCGGTGAGAATCACGGCCATCTCACGCCTAAGGCAGCGTATTTCCACATCATCTTCACATGCTGGGCGGTTGGTCTGTCGCGCTGCTTGCCACGCTTTTGTGCGATGCTCATGGTTTTCTTCCACTGTATCGATTTGATAGATTTGGGGGACCCCTGCTCTTTGAGCACCCCTTTTCTAGGAGTTTCAGACAGCAAGGGGTACCCATGGTGTGAAAACTAAGTCCCTGCCAGGTACCTCATGCTGGACATTCAAAAATGTAAGTAGTACAGTCATTTTGGTTTGGTGTTTTTTGTTGTTGTTTTTTTTTTAACCCTGATTATGGCACATAGTATGGGAATTTCAGCAAACTCTTAGGAACGTGGTGTCTGGTCTTCATGTCATCATTTACAGCAAGCAAAGCTGCAAATGGCTACCATGCAGAATTCATCCCATTTTTATGAATGCTCAAGATGTGTCCCATTTCTCTTCTCCAAAATACAATCTCCAGCCAAAACGGGCTGCTTCAAGAACTCGGTATTGCAAAATAGTATGAGGAAAACTCAGAACTGAACAGGCTTTGTACGCATGCAAAGAACAGGACGGCTGCGAAGGAAGGTCCAACTTTCTTTTCAAATCCCTGGGAGTTTTATCATTGATTTCAATGGAAAAAGATCAGACCAGAAGTCACTTTTTCAGGGCAACTCAGGTTATTTTTAAAATGGACAGATTCTGTTGTCCTTGGCAAAAGGAGTTCCTAATGACAGTGAAATAATGTTAACAGTCTACAGTCTAATAACAATGGTTTTCTTGTATTTTAGAAAAATACTTGAAAATAATTGCTTGGTATTAATTTTGTGACTTAAATATAAAAAAATGTACAGGCCAGATTCTGGTTCGAATTATGTTACTATAAATTGAAACCAACTCCACTGAGCTCATTAGAAGCTACTCCAGAATTATGCTGCCGCATTTATATAACCTGATCCTGTTAGTTCAAAATTAGGAGTATTTTTCAACAAGTCAGACTTTATATAAAAATATCATTGTTAATCATTTATAATAAACCTATATCTAATTCAAGTACTTAGAGGTGCCCATCAATGACAAGTATTGCATTGAAGGCAAACTTTTGCTATAAGAAAAACAAATTATTTGTGAGTCTCAGGGATGACATGTGAAGTTAACTTCCTAAATTCATTCCAGGATTTATGACAACTTACCTGAAGTAAAAAAGAAACAAGAAGAAAAACAGAAACGAATCATCATCCAGAGTAACAGACTGCGTGTTGAGACCTTTAAAAAGGTAAGGATTTACTGGGAATGCCAAGTAGAGTTTGGTAAACCTTCGTCACCTGTGAGGGGGGGTCCATAGGGACAGCACCTGCCTGGGGAGCCTGTGCTAATCATGTGCAAACCCTGAGAGCAAAAGATGATTTTAAAATCTTGTCCTTGGGGTTAGGCACTTCTTAAAACTTGAATTAACAGCTGAACTTTGTGTTGGAATAAGCACCCCAGACTTCAGTTTTTTAAAAACGAGTAATTAGTTAGTTGTGGTAGTAAGCTCTGTTAGCGCAGCTAATCCAGGCGTAGATCTGGGGCGTTCCCAGATAATCCTGTTCCACGTTGCACACAAGTACCAATTTTTCCTTAAGTGCTCTATTCCTCCATCTAATTACACCGTTCCTGTCCAAGATGGAAATGCTTTCAGTGATTTTTTCTGGAGCAATGTAGCCAGCAGATTTCAAGTCTGAGAACGCTAATACCATCTCACCTACAGTTTCACTGAAGATTTCTACAGCTATATCCACCTTATGTAGTTTAATGGTATCTTAAGGTTGTTTTGCATTGTTTTTTTTCCTAGCAATTACTGGACCAGCTCCTTCAAAGAAACACAGAGTGACAAAGGATTCTCTTGCCCATCATCATTCTAATTGGGTCTTGAATGCCTTTGATTGCTAGATAAGCCATAAAATTTATTGTTCTCTCAATTACTTGGAGGCATTTTTCTTATCTTTGGCTCTTTATATAAAGTAAGATCATTTATATTTCAATTGAAATTTTCAGGCAACTTTCAAGTAATCACAAACAGTCTAAAAGGGAACAGAGCTGTTTCAGAGCATCACCTTTTGGTCAGTTTACCCAGAGGAAATAATTTTAAGAATTTTTAATGTAAATACTGAATTACAGTGGTATTATTTATCTTAATCTTTTAAAAAGTATACATCTCTGTAGCAATAGAACTGGGTTTGTAAGATCTGGAAAACTTATTTCTCTGAAGTATTCTATTAATTGATTTCCTGTAAGTTAAATCCTTGAAGTAAAGAAAAATGAATATGACTATTTGTTATGTTTAGAAACTAGCTGAAATAGCATTACCACATAATCATAGCAGCAGCAGTTTCACATTAATACTTAACATACCAAAAGGGACCAATATTTTAGCTCTCTGAAGAACTTCATTCCTGTTTATATAGTGAATCTACATAGCAAGCTTACCTGTTAAAGGGCAATATTTAAAAATTTGATTATAACACTGTTTTTCGTGTTTTTCATTGTAATATACATTTTACTCCACTTCTGTGAGCATTAAGTATTTATAGAAATGGCATATTAAGAAGTGGTGCCAAGAAGTATGTTTGCATCAAAACTGCAGAACTAAAACCATCTGTAATGTTTCCTCCAAAAATATTTAAATCTTTATTTGTACATTTTGGAAGTAAAAACAACCAGCTTACAAACCAATGGAGTTTCTTTATGGAATAAAATATGAACATAACATTGATCCAACTGCTATGTTTTTATTTGGTACTGTTAAATATAACGCAATTATGGAAACTGCTTGAGAAGTCATGCCTTTGTATGCCACAAATCCTATAGTAAAAAATATTGCCCGTAAAAATCATTGCAAGTGTTAAACCTCTGTTGCACGAACGCTCAATTGAGTGTGTTTGAATGAGGCTGGAATTTAGCCTTTGATAGCTACGCTTTATTTTTCTCATCTAGCCTGAGATATAAGGTCAGGTTTTTTGGAAGAGGGATGTTTGTGAGCTGGGCTTTGGCCACTGAGACAGCCTCCAGCTGCGTGACCTCTGCTGGACAAGGAATCTACTTATATTTTGTTCTCTGGCTGCCTCCGTTAGGTTACTTTGCCTCTTTGTGTTTCAGCTTCCCAGTTTGTAAAGTAGGATTAATGATGTTAATTTCTGCTCACAGAGAAGATAGAGATTTATTGGACAAATATATTGCATTCCAGACACATATTTTTTAAAACTCATCAATTAGTTCAATATATTTCAAGAGGACATGTAAGGTAAAGTAATGCTGGCTGTGAGGAAGAAACTTCCAGGGTTCTTCCCCCCAAAAAAGTCTTTTTAATCAAGAAAGCAATGCTGTACTGAGAACTGAAGTCAGGGCTGGACCACACATAGCTCCAAGTAGAACTCGTAAAGGGGACTGCAAGAAGGAGCATCCTCCAAGTTTCGCAGCTCAGCTGCGCGGTACATCTGCTCTCCTGTGGGTTCATTGATCCCTCTTGATGCTCTCCAGGAAAAACATGTGGCCTGCTTCAAACGTGAGGGCCTTTCTCTCTCTGGTGGACTTCGGGGTCTCCAGCACAGCGTGATAAATTATAGCCATAAGCACACCTACACACATGGTCCCCTAGACTGAATCTGAAGGATTATCTTTCAAGCTTTCTTCCAGTTACAGCTCAGTACAACAACTAGAGACATTTCCTACAGAAATCATTGCCAAAATCCCCTCTGATTTCAGTAGGAACCTAGCATTTCTCCCCCTTGGTTCCTTAAGTCTCTAGTTTCTTGACTTCAGAGAAATGCAGCTTTGGTTCTTCAAGTTTGTACCCTTCAGGAGCATTATCTCCTGCACACATCCATAAAGAAATACCATATACATTTAAGCCCGCTTTACTGTATACATTTAAGCCTGCTTTACTGTATACATTTAAGCCTGCTTGTAGTCTTACGCTAGAGCCACAGCAAGACATTTTGTTATGGAGACAAGACATTTGGTATTTGATATCCGTGGGGAGCTGGATGGATTGCAGAGGAGCACACAGCAAGGTAACTCACAGCCTGGGTGAGGGATATCCCCTGGTTTGGGACTGACACCTGGTGCCAACAGCAGAAGAGAGCCCCAAAATTTTTCCCACTTCTTCTCTGGCAGAGCAGGAGACAGGGCAGAGCCTTCCCCTTCAGGAGTGGAACAGTATTTTACACTGAAACCAGACATTTGTCCTGCAGGATGCCCAGGAACTATAGGGAGATGGCTTAATCTAATTGCCATAATATATCCCTCCCTCCCATATGTAAATAGATGTGCATATCTGATTTGCTTCTGACCTTCTGACTGGGACTATCAAACAGAGGAGCTGATTCTCCTTAGAAATCACGGCATCCAAATCCTCGTGAGGAGATGATCCACGTGAGCGAGTGGGATGAAAGGCCCAGGCTTGGTGTGACATGGTTCAGCCCGGTCTCGGCCCCTCAGCACCCCTCTTGGCATGCTGACCAGGGCAGGACACTTCTCAGCTGGTCTGGTTTCCTCTCGTTTCTGCTGTTCACCCTCAGAGACAGGGTACTGCACCATCCTGCTGCATCCTTGCTTCCCTTGGCTCATGAGTAACTCCACCTCCTCGCAGACTTAAAGCCGGTGCACTATTCACAAAATCTTTTGGGTTCGTAGAAGGGTTATTTGCAAATGGTTGGTTTTTTTTTTCTCTAAACGTAATTTTCCAAATCTGCAGGACAAATGCGTGGCAATTTGAGGTGGAAATTCTCTTGTATAAATAAGCTTGGGAGTATACCTAGTGAGCAAAATGCGTGATGCAAATCACTGTCTGGGAATGTTTTATATGATATGAAACCTCTGCTTCAGAAAACCAAAAATGTTCTCTGTTGCAAACCTAATTTCTTTTTCTGGGCCTCAGAAAAGAAGGTATCTGGTAATGTATCCAGCAAACAATTCTGACATTCATTTCAGCTCTACAATCCAGTCATTGTAATAGAAAATAAACTGTACAGGAAAATGTTACTTCAGAAAAACATGAGCCTCACAGGCTTAGTCCTATACAAGCAGGCATCAATTTAATGAAGTTTGGAGTTGGGGAAAAAAATTGGCGTCATTTCACTTTGGACTTGCAGGCATTTCAAAGTAAAGAGTACATTTGCCATCGGATAGTACTTGACACAGAAAGCTCCCCAGCCTAAATTGGAGATCACCCACACTTGTCAAATACTGGAATTTTCTTTCTTGTTGAATGCTGTTTGAGTTCAGGTTCTCTTGCTGTCAGCCCACGCCACGTGTCTTCAGGAGGGACACATTTCCCCCCCGGTTCAAGTATACAAGGATTAACGTCTCTGGTAATAGGCATTGCCATTTGTTCCCCATCTCCCTTGTTGGGCCATCTCTGTTCTCGCTGCTGATTTGTACATGCCCTCAGAACAGTATTTAATAACGAGTGTTGGTTGGGGTGAGATGTTGAGATGGTTTCGGGGCGTTAAGGCACAGAGCCTGTGTAGGCTTGCCAACACGTTGACTCTGCGTTCTCCTTCCAAAAGAGAAAGCCTCTAAGTAGGGTTGACATTTTGCGTTACTCAAAATGGACCCACACGAGGAACGCACAGTGTTTTAGGTGTGCAAGACATGGTGTTTGTTTGCTTGCTGGCATCATTAATTTTAATGCCTCGTTAAGGGTTGAAAGTCATTGCAATGTAAAGCACTGAGGGTTACAGTATTCTGGGGATTTATTTTAAACCCAAATATTTTCCTGTGTATGTGTATGCAAGTCATTAGTTACTTCTTCAAGTTTACTCAGCTGGTCAGATAGATGAGGAGACTGTCTGGGTAAGACTTTTTTAGGAGTTTTGTTGTTGCGTATCTGGGATTGGTCATGTTAGTGTAATGTTTTCTGTGAGAGCACTGATTTACAAGGAAAACACCACAGAAAAGCAGGGATAAAGTTTCTGGCATCTCTCTCCAGAGGAAACCATTCCCCGATACAGCTACCGCAGCAAGAGCTCCATGGCTAAAAATACCTCGGCTTGCCTCGTCCATGGAGATGTTTGCCCCTTTGACTTCAGGGACAAAAATGCCTGTGTGCTTTGATGGGTGAGTAATTATCTTTCCAGGAGCATTGACTGGCCACTTGTTCAGTGACGGAGTAGATCATTACACGGGGTTGTCCCACAGGGTCACATTTCATCAAGCACCGTGACTTCAGCCTGTGTAGTTTATAACTCCGGAGGCTTCTCGCTGAGCTGGGTTACGGCCAGCGGGATGCCTGTGAGATGCCCTCACTGTGCTCCCCCACTGTCACGGCCACAGGTCAGCACCAGGCAATGGGGGGCTGAGAAGACCCACCCCCAGCTGAGACCATTCCCAATTTGCAATTTTCTGATTAAAAGGTGATGAGAAAGCAGTGGCACAAACTAAAATGCAAGGGCACCTGAGCATCAAAGAAGGTACTGTAAACCCTTCAGATACACTGCAGGTAAGAAGGTCAATGTATGCATGAAAATCTTTATGAGGCTTTGATTTAAATAGGCATCTAGTGAAATCACAATCACAAAATCCCTTGCCCACAATCCTTTTTCATCGAGAGTCTGCCTCTTGATAATGGTTTTTTTTTGGGGGGGTGGGTGTGCTCAGGCAGTGAAACATGTCTCCCAGCTGACCTACCTGGAGCTGTTTTGGGAGATGACGAGTTTTCTCTCTCTCAATGTCTGTTTAGCTATGACAAGACTGTTGAAAGAAGCGTGTCTTGTGAAAACACATTTCTATGTTGAAAATAAAAAGCGTCCTCTTTTTTAAGACAGGCATCTTACATTTCCTCCTTCTCCTTGGCTCCGTACCAAAGCTGTAGGAGGCAGAATTACTTAAAATCTGTTTTAGATGACCCACAGAATAAGATAATGAGGTGTATCATCTCCCTACCAGCTGCGGAGTGATTAAAAAAAAAAAAGGAGAAGAAATTGCACAAATGTGCTCTTGGTACACACAATTATGTAAAATTAGTAAATAACTAAAGTGCAATGAACTGCTTGTGGTTTGTGTTGCATAGACAGGAGTATGTAAAAGAGCCCTAATTGCAGAAATTTTTTTTTCAGAAATTGGTCACAGTGATGTATTTTTAGACTTCATGTTTTAAATAATTTTATCTTCTACAGTATCTTACAATAACTAGACTTTAGTTAATATAAAATTATAGGAAGATCCTTATGCAAACACTTACTACATGCAGGCTGCTTCGTGGTTCTAGAGTTACTGCAGCTCTGCAATTCGCTTAAGAAATGGCCAGCAGAAAATCGCAAAGATCCTTTTGAAACCATTTTAGCTTCATCTTCTCACTCGAGCCACCTGTTGATACACCGTCTAATGTGCTCTTGCAGCTCTTGAAGCTGTGCTTGAAGAATGGGGAGACTTCCATTTTTATTTCACGTTTCTGTGCTTTTTGAGAACTTTTTGTTCCCTAAAGTGAGTGAGTGCTTTATATCCCCTTCTGGGCAGATGTGGGGAAAGTTAATAAAGATCATGACCAAAGGACGGTCATGGGAATGGTGTCCAGTCTGAACTTGGACTAATCTTCTGATTGCCTGATAATTGTGTCTGAAAGAAAGGTTCCTCAGCAATCATTGTAATTAATTGCGATATAGAACTATGGCCAGGGAGTTTAAAAAAAAAAAAAACAAAAAACAAAAAACAAAATGAAAAACAAACATCTTCAGGATAGAGAAGTCTGGTTTTGTAACTGGA